TAGGGAATTTCTCCCGGTGTCTTGGCCAATAATGCCAGCAATAAAATTGATCGTTCACTTTCCTGACTGGCTCCTAAGTTTGCCAACAAAATACACAGTCATTGCACTTTGCAGTAAATCATTTGAAACATAAAAGATGCCATTTCATATGTAAGGATTATTACTGTTATTAGCATTATTCTCATGGCGTCATGGTAGTCGTATTACAATGTGACGGTCATGGTACAACAAGAACAACAACCTGCATTTGTATAGCACCCCTTACAGGGTAGCGTCCCAGAGCGCTTACCATTGGTGGAGCACGACACCAAGCCGGGGGAGAGGGGAAGGTGACTGTAGGCACGGTTGAAAAAGAAGGTCTTCAGGCATGACCTGCAGATGGGGAAGGAAGGAGCAAGGCGGAGGGAGAGAGAAAGAGTGTTCCAGAGTTTTGGGGTGTAGTGGTTGAAAGAGCGGTCACCAGTGGTGGAATGGAGGGACAAGGGATATGTAGAAGGCCGGAGCCAGTCGATTGGGACCCAGATGATGTGGTAATGGTCACAGACGAGGGGGAGGGGGAAGGTGAGTTGTTATGGTCAGAAATTATTGAAATCAGTATTGAGGCCAGAGGGCGGTAAGGTCCCTAGACTTTTCCTTGCCAGCGCAGGAGATGCAGTACCTGCCCTTTCACTTCCCATACCACTGTCCAGGGCCCCAAACACAGTTTTCACGTGAGACAGCGATTTACGTGTACTAGAACCTATGTAGTTTACTGCATTCGCTGCTCACAATGTGGGCCCCTCTACATTGGGGAGACGAAACCAAATTGGGTGACCGATTTGTCAAATCGGTCCACAAGCACAACCCTGAGCTTCCGGTTTCTTGCCACTTCAACTCTCTCTCCCACTCGCACTCTGACCTCTGCATCCATGGTCTCCTACACTGTTCCAATGAACCACAGCGCACGCTCAAGGAACAGCACCTCATCTATCTGCTAGGGACCTTACCTTTATAGTGAAACAATAATTGTAACAACATTACTACTACTACTTTTTTTATGGCAGAAATTTCATATTTTCATATCATTTTGCTAATCATGCATTACCGGAAGATCAACAAATTGACGTCCAGCTACATGTTGACCACATTCGTTGTGTTAATATCACATAACAGGAGCACTGCATGTAGGTTATCGCCTGCTCCCACAATAACATTTAGAATTGATAAATGAAAATTAGAAGCAAGAATAATGTGAGAAGAGTTGCATCGAAGAGGCAGAGACATGTCGGAGCAGCAGGTTCACTGTTTGCTATTAACAGTAGATGTTGAATGTGTAAGTGTATGATGTTGAAACTCAGCAGTTTCAACTATGTCGCATGGTTAAAACTGCTGAGGTATTGTTGCAAAGTACTGCATTTTATTTGACTTCTAAAGGTTATGAATTAGGTCCAGTACTAGCTGTGTGCCTTAAACACTAGTAATCTATGTACCAAATTGTCTTCATTTTGGACAAATGTTCTCATTCATGTGTTTATGGTTTGTCTAAGTAAAAGTTAACATTTTGTAAAGCTTTCTTTTAAAAAAAAAAGCGTTGGGTAAACTTTTCCCAGTGTGGTTAAGGGCAGCTTCAGTGGCATTCATGTCATGCAGTTCTATGCTGATAATATGCACTGTGATAAAATTTTGACATAAGCTTTTCTCAGGCCAGAAGCTTGGGTTGAATGGGAATTCGGAGGTCATGTGTGAACAATAGAATCCTATACTTACCATATGTGCATTGAGTATTCCAATCAGCGGTGCCGGCTTTGAGGTCTGGCAAGATGTTGCAAGTTTCTGCTTTTAATTTTTCTGCAAAGTTATTATACAAAACCAATTTATGTGAGAACACTATTTGTTTTTGGGGGGGGGGGGGTAGGAACGAGCTGACAATGTCGTATTGTGGAGATGCACAGCATTAGTTCAATTTACAAAGATAATTTTCTACCTCCAACCAGATGCATCTTACATTGGTTCGTTGGCCAGACTTTTCCAACGCAACACAGCCTTAATGAACCTCAGATTCCATTGCTGTTTACTTACAATGTCCCACCCCAATATCATCATTGCAACATACACATTTGGTGATTCGTTCCCACGACCTTACAGTCTTCACGAGACTTCATATGGTATTTAATTTCTCCATTTTTCTTCCCAAGAATTCAGATGCCTGTTGGTCATTCACCACTAAAATCAGAATTAATAGCTTTTTTTTAACATGTTTACTTGTTTATGCATGTTTCCCACAGTAATCAGTGCACACATCTCACCGAGTTTGCTGCTCATGATATACTTACAAGTCTTTCAATGTCATTTTTTCTAGTTCCCCCACCAATAATTTTCTGTTCTAATGAAAGATGTGCTGCAGTATTAGCCAAAAAGCAGAAATGCCTCTGGAGATGTTGCCAACCATCTGGCTTCATGATAAATCCTTAAAAATAACTATCTCAGAAAAGTTCTAAGAACTGATAGAAAATTGTGAGCTCTAAGTCTAGCATCACCTTGGATCAGAGCTGAACTCCCCGGTCTCTCCTTTAGAAGGATGTACTCGAGGGCCACAACTATTTAGATAAAATGTTGCTGACCTTATACTGTATTCCAAAACATTACCTGAAATCTAAGTTAAAACATCAACATTTTCATCAAAATGCAACAACAAGATGAGTAAATAATAGTAATAATACTTGCATTTGATATAACAACAACTTGCATTTATATAGATCCCTTCACATGGGGCAGCGTATCGGAGCGCTTAACAGTGGTGGAGGCTGACTCCAAGCCGGAAAGAGGGAGGAGGTGACCGTAAGCACAGTTGAAAAGGAAGGTCTTCAATCGTGATCTAAAAGAGGGGAAGGAGGGGCCTTATATAGCACCTTATCATGTCATCAAGACGCCTCAAAGCGCTTCACACGATATACTGCAATGTGGCTTAACTGTGTATTTTGTGGGCGAAATGGAAACCAGGCATGCCAGAGTGCTACCAACGGAGCCAGGTTAACCCACACTACAGTCACAAATCCTGTGAAGTTCTTTGATACATCTGCCTGACATTGTCATAGGCCTTATGTGAAATGGAAGTATGTAGCCTACAGGATTGCAAAAAGTACCAGAGAAAAACAAGAACGCCAGCTGAAAGTAGTTAAATAGCATGCAAAAACCTGACCAAACAATACCCCTGGCACCAGTTATTTTTGACAGGATTTCACAGCCCTGTGTTTTTTTGCTACAGATATTTTTGCTTGGATTTTTGCCAGTCTAGATAAGTTAGTTTCTTAGCTCTGCATTAACAATACTTAAATCACACTTCCCTTTCTTTCCTAAATAACTTTTAATTGATATGTTACCACAAATCATTGGTCCCCAAAAAACTTAACACCCTTTTGATTTAAACATCAAAGATCATTCTATATAAGGTGTTTCTTCTTGCCTTACAACCAATTTTAGGAGTGACACTAATTGGTCCTGGAAGGAAATATCACGATATTATCTGAGTGAGTTTGGGATAAAAGGGGATTTTGCTTCTGATATTAAAAAAATTGTAAATGGTACCTGTATTCGACGGGTAACACTTGAGGATTTACTGTAAAGTGGAATGACTACACTTTAGTTGTTTTTTAATTTGGTGAATGCAGCTGCCTATTTGTGCACAGCAACGTCTCACAAAGTGTGAAGTGAATGAGCAATTTTATCCCATCACAGCATCGAGCCTTTTTTAAAAAAATTAGTTCAGTTTTCCTAGCAACTTGTACCTGCTGTTGATTACCCTCCGAGTAAAGAAATACTTCCACTTGTGCTGAAATTGTTCTTCAACTGTAAACCCATGTAATAATAACAATAACATTATTGTAATAATGCCTTCTTGTTTTATTGTCTCAGTACATCTGAAAATATTGTTTTGTGTTTACTTTCTTAATCCGGTTTGAAATCGTGTATACCTCTACAACGCTCGCTCTTTCAAGATGAAAGAGCCCTAGAGTGTCCAATCATTGTTCATGTCTCATTTCTCTATCATTAGGGATCATCCCTGTTGCTCTCCAGGCACCTCAGAAGGCTTTGACGGGAATAGTTTAATGAGTTAGCTTTTCACTACTGAAATAGCAGCTGTGCAGGCTGCTGAGCAGCCACTCGGTATCAGGAGTCCCGTAACACAGCGTAGTGGTTAGCGTGAGAGGACCTGGGTTCAGTTACGAGGCAGGGCAAAACTGTAGGCAAGTTTTCTTACTCCTCATGCCTGTTTACCTAACAGTGAGTAGGAACCTGACTATAAGCTGATTGGCGGATTGCTTTCCAGGGATAATAAGCCTTCAAAAAAAATTTGGTCACTCAATCCACGACTGTTTGTGGGCCACTGCTGTGCGCAATTCACTGCTATATATCACCCACATTGCCTTCAGCCTCTCTGCCCCCATGTTTGGCACTCCATCCCATGTTACCTCGCTCCCTCACTTGCCTCCTTCAAGACACGCTTGAAGACCCTCTTCTTCGACCGCTCTTTCAGCCACCCCCCCTGCCCTCCGACCCCGCCCCCCGCGCCCCACCCCGCTCGGGTCCAAATCCCTGACTGTCCAGCACCTTGGGACGTCTTCCTGATGTGAAAGGCGCTGTAGAAGTGTAATTTTGTATTGTACAGTCAATTCACTTTACAGTATATTCTGTGAAACACTTCAAGATGTCACAATGATGTGATAAGGCGTTATATCAAATGCAAGGATTATTATGAATGCAGGCTGCTGAACAGCAAATCAGCACTAGCTGTGCAGGCTGCATACCTGACACTGAGTGGAGGTCCAAAGCTGTGCCCTGGGCGGTGAAGGTGACGGTGCAAGAAATTAGAAAACATTTTACCTTGGGTCTGGCTCGCTTCCATTTCCACATGTGGTTGCACGCCACCAACCTAGAAAAGGTGCTGGCAGAGAAAAGAACTGTGAGAAGCTTTGTCCACTTCTCTGCATGTTAACCATGTTCCTCTATTTTGTTCACGGCAGGAATGTGGGCCTGGTCCAACTCGCCACTCAGATTCTCCAGGTTCTTCACCGGTTAAAAGGTTTCCAGGAGGATGTCTTGTCAGCAGGTGAGAAAGGGCAGAGAACAAACCCGGTTTAGTGTTTGGGAAAAGCCAAAATTTAAGTTTAGCTTCTCAGCTTTTTAAGTATTAAACTATTTGGCGTCCTCAGCTGGAGTAACTGGGTGGGAGGATTTGATCCTGCGGGTGAACAGAAAGGTCAGTGGAAAAACAAATGAATCTGCGTAGTTTGGTCTAAGAAATAACCAGCTTTTAAAGATAGCTCTGCGGTCAGAGTTACCAGAGCACAGAATGTTTTCTGTATTCACCCTGTTCTAATTGATGGGTTTTTTAAAGAAAAATGAGCAGCAACGGCAACAGTTGTGGCTGAGATAAGCAAGTGCAGTTGTGAAGCAAATTTTTTTCAATCAGCCGAGTGTCTGACACATGCAGAAACCAGCACTATGCTTAGTAGTATGGTGACCCAACTGAGAATTCCATGGATCCCACCTACACATGGAAACCCCAGAGATAGATTGTTGTAATGGAATGTGCTCTCTCTCCCTAGAGGGGCCCATCCTGCTTACCCAATTCTGGACATCCTTAGGCGCAGATTGGCAAGAGCCAAGGCTTGAGGACCCTAGAGGGTGAGTTGGGATACTGCTGGAGTTTAATCCGTTAAGACCGCATAGCTTGCCATGGTTATCACTGTCTGACAAGCTTTCCCCCAGCTTGTACAGCTAGGACAACACCACCAGTTAGGCTTTGGCTTGCAGGATTAATAGGGGCTGAGTGGGATGATTCCTTGCTGCCGGCAATGAAAAGTAGTTGGGATATGGAGTATTAATTGCTGAAGTAAAATCTATGGGCTGAGAAAAAGGAATAAACCATGGACTGCTTTCAAACTAACCATTGCTATTGACTGAGAACCAATAAAATGGAAAATCTGATTAAATCTAGCTCAATTTGAATTGAACGGATGCACATCAAAATGAAGGGTGGGGAATTAGAAAGTGAATGCTTCAGGGTCTGCACTGTGACCGCTTCTGTTCTTTATGCGCAAAAACGAAATAGATTTGCAGACCCAGTAAGGTAATAATAATAAAAATTACTCATCCTTTTCATTTGGTATATCACTTTTCATATTGCGAGGATGTCCCAAAGCATTTCACAAGTTATAATAATAATAATCCTTGCATTTGATAAAGTGCCTTATCATGTCTTCGAGACATCTCAAAGCACTTCGCAGAATATACTTTAAAGTGAATTGGCTGAATATTTTGTGAACAAAATGCGGCAGCTAATTGCACATAGCAATATCCCACAAACAGTTGTGGATTGAGTGACCAATTCTTAAAATTTATTTTGAAGGAATTATTATCCCTGGAAAAATGATCCGCCAATCGACTAACAACCGGGTTCCTATTTACTGCAAGGTAAACAGAGGCGGGGGAATAAGGAAACTTGCCCAACGTTTCACCCTGCCGGGAATCGAACCCAGATCCTCTCGCTTGCGAGGCGAGTGCTCTAACCACTAAGCTACAGGACTCCACATACTGTGAAGCGGAGTCACTGTTTGTTTTGTGGGCATATGTGGCATACAATTTACACACACTCATGTCCCACAAACAGCCATGAAGTGAGTAACCAATTTTTTTTCTGGAAAATGGTGGGCCAGGACACTGGGAGAAACTCCTTTCTCTTTAAGGGAGTTAAATTTGCATGACACCAAGTTGGGTGGGAACTGTAGAATCAGAGGAAGCAGCAAAGGTCTTACAACCAGAGCTTGACAGGGCATGCATCATGGATTGATGATTGTCAAATTAAGTCTAATACAAATAAAGATAAACGCAAGGTACTGCATAGAAGAAGTAGGATTAAGAGGGATGTGTGTTCAATGAATGGACACTTGAAAAAGAGGAAACTGAAAGAGGGGTATTGTTGGACACATCATCATTTCAAAATAGTGTGAGCCAGCAATGAGTAGGACATAGGATGCTGCGCTGTATTGGCAAATCAGTTGAGTTCAGTGTCAAAAGTTATTCTCCAATTGTGTCGTGCCTAGGCCCTAGAGGCAGAACAGAAGAGAGGAACAAAGATCATCTTCGGTGTTTGAGAAATAAGCTGTGAGGATCAATTAGATAAGCTGGGGCTCTTCAGTCTTAAAAAAGAGGTGTCTCAGAGAGGTATATAAGAGTTTAAATGGATTGAGAAAGTAAATTCAGAACAATACGTTAGGGTGCAATGAGACATAAGGACACAGGGTTAAGCCTGCAAAGGGCAAGATCCGGACAGACATCAGGATGTATTTCTCAACCCAGAGGGTTAATAATGACTGGAACAGATTACTAGGAAGGATGGTTGAGAACAGGCCAACTGGATACATTCACAAAAAAAACTTGATGAGTTGGTGGGAGGATGGTTGGGTGGGATTTCCAGAAGGATGAGATCAAATGGGCAGAAGGGCCTTCTTCATCCAAACCAATCTTGCAATCTGTGAAAAACGGAACATTAACTACATGTCTAGTGTAGGTGATATAAGTGAAGCTGATAATGTATTCTACAATCCAGATGCTTTAACGTCCACCTGCACAGGCAGACGAGAACTCGGTTTAACGTATCATCCAAAGAATGGCATCTCTGACAATACAGAGTTGATTCACCGGGGGTTTGACTATGGGACAGAACACTGAGACACGAGGACACGTTATCTGTTTGTATATTGTCCTTTGCAAGCCTAACCCTGTACAGGGAGTAAGATGTCCGGAGCCTTCTGTCGAGAGTTGACCAACCTTGGTTGACCAAAATATAAATCAGTAATTTGATGAAATAGAATCTTTTGGAATGTCTGTTGTTTACAAAAACAACAACAACAAGATTCCATTTATAGAGCGCCTTTCACGTCGGGAGGACGTCCCAAGGCGCTGTACAGTTGGGTCAGGACCCGAGCAGGGGGGAAATGGTCATGGTGAGAGGAGGGAAGGGAGGGAGCGAGGAGGGGGTAGAGAGTCGAGAGGGGAGCTGAAGGCATGGTCAAAGAGAAAGGTCTTGAGACCGGCCTTGAAGGAGGAAAGGGAGGAAACAAGGCGAAGGCACTGGGGGATGGAGTTCCAGAGCCTAGGGGCTGAGAGGCTGAAGGCCCGGCCACCGATGGTAGGGCGGTTGGGGCGGGGGATGTGGAGCAGACTGGAGCCAGAGGAATGGAGGTTACGGGCAGGTAGGTAGGGGGATAGTAGGTCAGAGAGGTAGGAGGGATCAAGGCCGTGAATGGCCTTTGTAGGTGAGGATGAGGATCTTGAATTTGATCCTCTGGGGGATGGGGAGCCAGTGGAGGCGAGCGAGGGTGGGAGTGATGTGGTCGCGAAGCCTGGTGCGGGACAGTACACGAGCTGCAGAGTTCTGAATGACCTGCAGCTTGTGGAGGGAGGTGCCGGGAAGGCCGGCGAGGAGAGAGTTCCCATAGTCCAGCCTTGAGGTGATAAAGGCGTGGACCAGAGTTTCAGCCGCGTGAGGGGTGAGGTAGTGCCGTAGTCTGGCGATGTTCCAGAGGTGATGGAAGGCGGTGCCAGTTGTGGCGCGGATATGAGGAAGAAAGGACAGCTCAGGGTCGAACAGAACACCGAGGTTCCTGACTGGCTTTGAGAGGTGGAGAGTGCAGCCTTGGATGCTGATGCTGTCAGCGCCTGAGGTGCGGAGGCGCTAACGCGAGCCAATCAGGAGGGCCTCAGTTTTACGCACATTGAAGCAAGTTGTCTCTCGTCCAGGACTCGATGTCAGACAGGCAGGCTGTCAGGACATCGGTGGTCGTTTACAATAAACAAATGGTCAGTTGAGCTGTCCATCTACAGTTACAATGATGCACAGTTATCTGTTGCAAGTAAATAGATTCACCTTGAACTGTGAGTGGTGTGGGCTGCTTTATTATTACAGACCTAAATCTTCAAGCCATCGATGAGGTTGTGTCAAATGAAGAGGGTCTCACTCTTACTCCCTGTATATGGCAACTGAGTACATGGCACAATTGATCCAATCGATCATGGTGTTGACAAAACTTCACTTCCCATTCAGCTGAACATCTTGCAAGGATGTGAGAATTAACAATACCTGGTGTGAGAGAAAGCAATATCTGTTTTTGAAAAAAAAAGAGCACAACCACTTGAGCAGTTGTTCTGCTAGAGGAACTCCATGGACAGTTGGGGGTGCATGGAAGTAGTATCCCCAAATGGTAACTTTCTGAACAAACCAAAATAGCTTCTGAGATATTATATTAATTCACAGAATCATTGTGATAAAGAAAACTTTTCTGAGCTTTCACCACAGAAGGTAATAAATTAATTTGTGTAAACAACAGAAGAAATGAAGATATTTGTTTTTTTCCCATGCATAAAATGTCTTGCGTTTTATCCCAAGTGTAATAGCACCATTTAAATGAAAAATTTAAGTCAAATAAATGGTTTGTGTGGTTTTGCTGACCAGCCCAAGCTGACCTGGCAAAAGTCCAAGACACTTGCCTAAAACTGTTGCCCAAGGTAAGGTCTCCATTTCACTGTTCACAGCTTCCCTAATAACTTTGATTCTCTACAGATTTCGACAAAAAGCAGAACAATTTTGGAAAGAGGGATTCAATAAGGAATTTGTGTCATAGGGTCACCGAACAAGATTGGCTAGAATCTGCCAAACTATCTACAAATGCACGATAAGCATCTCTCTCTTGTCCACATCAAATCTTTTTTGTTCTGAGATACAGTAGTTATTGGATTGAGGTTAAGTGGTCTTGTTATAGGGGTGGTTTTACGACAAGGATTTGTACTCAGCTGATCAGTAGAAATTCACCACATGTTTTAGGTTTAGTCATTGGAAGTGGAGCAATCTTAAAGCAATAACAAGTGCACTAAAATTACTTGAACTCTAAAAACTATAATTATTTTCATTTACTGTAGTTTTTTTAAAATACAAGAGACAGTTTAGCTTTTATTCCACAGCTGTTCCCTATGGTTTCCAGTGGTACGTACGTCTAGACAGATCTCAGTCCAAGCAAAACATTTGCAGTAGTATTTAGCATATGATTCATGGTGGGGAAGAAGTCAAGGTTTTTGAATACAAGTTGTATTGAAAATTATTGGGGTCTATTATTGGGATTTGTATAAACATGCATATGGAGGGAATTATTTGTACACTTAAATTATGTAATTTACTGGCAATGGAAAATTATTGATTGATTATCCAATTAATATCTATTGCTTTTGATTAATTTTAATTAATTAAATAAGTGCAGTTGGTGCAAAATACACTTATGTCCGAATTGACATACCTGCTTCACAGACCCCAATTAAACAAATGCAGTCACAATATTGATGAAAGCTAAGTTAAATCAAGTTAATGCTCTAGTAATAATATGTGATTGTGTGTCAGCCTGGCTTATTTGTTAGCACTCTCGTCTCAAGAGTCAGAAGGTTGAGGGTTCAAGACCACGCAAGGACGTTGAACTCATAATCTATGCTGATACTCCCGTGCTGTGCTGTGGGTGTGTTGCATTGTTGGAGTGCCGCCCTTCACATAAGATGTTGAACCGAGGTTCCGTCTGCCTGTTTTGGTGGATGATAAAGATCCCATGGCATTATTTGAAAAGAGAAGAAAGTTTCTCTCAGTATTCTGCCAAATATAAAATTGGTGGTTCTGTGAGTCATGGCTTCATGGAGTCCTGTAGCTCAGTGGTTAGAGCACTCGCCTCGCAAGCGAGAGACCTGAATTCAATTCCCGGCAGAGCGAAATGTTGGGCAAGTTTCCTTACTCCACACGCCTCTGTTTACCTAGCAGTAAGTAGGAACACAGTTGTTAGTAGATTAGTGGATCGCTTTTCCGGGGATAACAATTCCTTCAAAAACAAAATTGGTCACTTCAACCCACGACACTGTGGGACACTGCTGTGCGCAATTGGCTGCTGTCAATTCACTTTACAGTATTTTGTATTTTGTGTGAAGTGCTGTGAGACGTCTCGAAGATGTGATAAGGCACGATATCAAATGCAAGGATTACTATTATTATGGCTGTTTGTGGGACATTACTGTGCACAAATTGGCTACCGATCTCACCAAAACAAAGTCACTACACTTTACAGCATATCCTTTAAAGCACTTTGAGTATTTTATTGAAGTGAGAGGCGCTATATGAAATGTAAAAATTATTTTATTATTACGCTCGCATTCTCTGTCACTAATAATAATCCTTGCATTTGATACTAGTGCCTCATCACGTCTTCTAGATGTTTCAAAGCACTTCATAGAATATACTGTACAACAACAACAACTTCACACAGGGTAGCGTCCCAATGCGCTCGACAGTGGCGGAGCACGACTCCGAGCCGGAGGAGGGGGAGGTGACCGTAGGCACGGTCAAACAGGAAGGTTCTTTAGGCGCAACCTGAAAATGGGGAAGGAAGGGGCAAGGCAGAGGGATAAAGGAGGGGTGTTCCTGAGTTTTGGGGCACAGTGGCTGAAAGTATGGCCACCAATGGTGGAATGGAGGGCACAAGGGACGTATAGAAGGCTGGAGCCAGTCGAGCTGTAAAATTAATTGACTATATTTTGTGGGCGAAACGCGGCAGCCAATTGCGCACAGCAGTGTCCCAGCACAGCCATGGATTGTCAGCCTCACATTTAAATAAATCTGAAGGGTTCCGGGAGTGCCAGAACCTATAGATTTGTTTATTTATTTGTCAGCCGGGTGTCTGACACTTGCGGAAACCCATCACTATGCTTAAGAGTGTCCAAACCGAGCTGAGCGTTCCAAACATCCCACCTACACATGGAAATTCCAGAGATAGATTGTTGGAATGGAATGTGCTCTCTCTCCCTGGAGGGACGCTTCCTGCTCACCTAATTCTGGAAAGTATTAAGTGCAGTTTGGCAAGAGCTTAGGTTTGGGGACCCCAGAGTGTTTGTTGGCGTACTGCTAATCAGCTAAAACTGCACAGCTTGCTATTGATAGCACTGTCTGGCAAACTTTCTCACTGCTTATTCAGATAGGATTAGCCTGCCCGTTAGGGCTTTGGCTTGCAGGTTAACAGAAGCTGAGTGGGAGGACTCCCTAGTCTGCCCTTCCAATTCCTGCTGACGAATCAGGTTGGCTGTGCTGTCATCAACAGTGCCCTGGAATACTGTGGACCCTCCTGGCTCAGGAACCGGAATACCGAGACCGCCACAGAGCGCTGGCTTAATTCCGATATTCCGTTGCCAAACATGTCACCTTGGACCAGTTCAGCTCCAAGGAGACCCTGATTACCTCTTCCGCCAAGGAGAAAAGTCATATGGAAGTTAATAGTTGCTCTGCAATAAAACAAACCTGGCTCATTGCAAACTGACTTATTACAATAATAACCCTTGTATTTGATCTAACATTATAACGTGGTATGACTCGGATTCCTTCTAAGTATTATGACTCCATTTGTAGGCAAATTTGTCCACAACAGTGAAACTCAAACAGCCAGGCGGTGAAAGACCAAATAATCTGGAAGTTTATTGGCACACTGGAAGAAATTCACTGACACTGGCAGAAAATCATCTCTATGCATGTCTGACAGAAGNAAAAAATCCACATATGTATATCACTCACACACAGGTTTTTCATGGAAAGGGTGACATTCAAACTATCGCCAGAAATACAAATCCGAATCTGACCCATCCCTTATCCCTGCAGAAGTCACTTGTTAGCAATCAAAAGCAGGAACCTCTAGCTGATTTCTCTTTATTCCTTGCCTCACCCTCTCTCCAACAGCAGTCCTGAGGTCACCTATTGTGATTTTGGGACGTCCTTCCGACGTGAAAGGCGCTATACAGATGTAATTTTGTATTGTATTTTGATCAGTTAACAGTATAGACTGATAATTAAACCTGCAGCCTTCTGATCTGTATGTCTTCCTACAATCATTGGTAATATTGAGAGATACATTTCATGGCTTCTGAAAATGTTAATTTCTTTGTTTTGTGCAGCATTTCGATGTGGTCTTCAGTTCCTTGGAAATCTTGCCACTGGGAATGAAGAATCTCAGGGTGTTATTTGGAAAAATGCATTTCCAGATATGTTCCTGTAAGTTTCATCGTAAATCATCTTACTGAAATGGCTAATTATTTGATGTTATTTATTAAGACAAACATAGGGTGTACTTCATATTTTCACAGACCTTTTTGTAAAACTTTGGTGCAGTAGCCATTTTTAGTGTTGACTTGGAAAATAGTCTTGTCACTTCATTTTTGCTTTTGCTCATCAAACTGAGGGCATTTTATACTTTTTGCATCGAGCAGCAAATTGATCTACAAACTGAACTGCCTTAATTTAAAATTTGTGCTGATATTTGCTGTTCAGTTGAAAATATTTTGGGGGGAAATTCTGTGCTTTAGTTTCCTTTTTGTTTGTTGCCTGGTGACATTTAATGTACATGTAACAATAAAATAATCAATTAACCCTGCATTTGACATTAACAACACCTCAATAACAGTATAAAAATGTAAATTATAATCACAAGTAGAAACATTATCAGGATCTAAATATAGTTTTGAAAGTGTTCAACCACTTAGCCTTTAGTTTGAATTTGACTGGATGTCTATTTCCAAAAAGAACATTTAAAGTTTTTACATAGAGAAACATGTCTGAGAAAAAAAATAGTTGTGGTGTATAAATACGTCTTATAATACATAAGGGATTTATTAAATTTTAGAGGAGATTTAACAGATGTTATGGAGAGTACAGGAATTGAAAGATTCATATGCTATAAGGGAGTTTTTTTTGCACAGAAAATTTTAGAATGAGTTAATATTAGTATTTAGTCAAAAATTAAATATTAATTTCCCTCAAGAATTCATTTAAAAATAATCCTTGTGTTTAATATAATGCATTGTATATTGTCAGCATAGGTTGGGCTGTTATCTTGGAGCATTATGAGCACAATTTACAATGCTTGGTTTTGTCTTAAGGAGTGTCAGTTTGGTTCAGTTGGTAGCACCCTCACCTATGGGCCGAGCCCCTCATTGGGACCTTTAAACTCACCATATAGGCTGACTACCCAGTGAGGTTTTTTCGGTGAGCTGCATTGTCAGAAATGCCATTGTGTGTTTGTGGAGTCCTGTAGCTTGGTTGGTTAGAACTCTCGCTTCGCAAGCGAGAGGACCTAGCGAGAGATTCAATCCCAGGCAGAGCAAAACGTTAGGCAAGTTTCCTTACTCCACATGCCTCTGTTTATCTAGCAGTAAGTAGGAACCTGGTTGTTAGTTGATTGATGGATTGCTTTTCCTGGAGTAATAATCCTTTCAACGGTAAATAAATAAAAAACAATAATTTGGTCACCCAATCCATGACTGTTTGTATGCAATTGGCTGCTGTGTTTCCACCACAAAATACACAGTCAATTCATTTTCCAATATATTCTGTGAAGTTCTTTGAGACATCGCGAAGACATGACATGGTGCTGTATCAAATGCAAGGATTATTATTATCCTTTAGTGAAGCAATAAACTCAGGTCCTGTCTGCCTGATGAGGTGAATGTCAAAAGAACCCCCCCAAAAAATTTGGGTCAGCCTGTGACACGCCCATCACTAAACTCAAGAGTATCCAAACCAGATTGAGAGTTCCACAAATGTATGACACCTACACATGGAAATTTCCCTGTGTCTGAAATGAAATGCGAATTCTCTCCCTGGAGGTACTCTTTTTGGCTTTTTTCCAACATTCTGTGGCCAAGCACCTCACCTCAATCAGTTCCAAGGAGACTTATCTTTCCTGCTTATCTTTCCCCCAATAAGGATCGTTTGAAAAGAAAAATAAGTTGCTCTCAATGTCCTGACCAACAATCTTCCAGTTAAATCGGTGTTTCAGCGCCTTGGGAAATTAAATTGGTGTTTCAGCGCCTTGGGATATCCTCCCGATGTGAAAGGCGCTCTATAAATGTAATTTTGTTGTTGTTGTTTCACCTCCTGACTTTGTGGGAAATTGCTGGATGCAAATTGGCAGTTTCATTTCCAAGAAATACATTCACTACCTTAATAGTAATTACTATAAGCACGTTTAAGGTTTCAATATTCTGGGCGCCGTATCAAATACAAGGATTATTATTAAATGTTTCATGTTGCATAACCTCCATCTTTATATAAATTCAAGGTAAATTCTTTGACAGGTTGGAATGTTAACCTACCTGTTAATGGCTTATCTTTATTGGGGCACATTTCATTTTCACAGACTTATTTGTAATCTTTTCACTGTCAGATTTTCTTTGCAGGTGATTCTTTTATGTAGCGTAAGGTGATCTGGATAATTTATTCTACTTTGCAACCAATGTTTTATATTCTACTTTGGGTCACTGGGTGGCGCATTGGCCTTTACCTTTTCAGATCTGATTTCAAATTCAGATTCAACCCCTGTTAAAATCCAACCCAGCCAATGGGTATCATAGTCTCTGACGGTCATAATGAAATTAATTTACTGCAGTCTCTGAGTGGCTGTTTTATGCATGCAAATTAGCATTATTTGAAGCTGGAATCTGTTGGATTTAGTCAGGTTACAAAGTTAGTTTGTGTGGGTAATGGAAAGACGACAGCAGAGGTTGCAGATAATGTGTATTGAGGCTGAGCAAAGGGAACTGTTTTGCTTGCGTGTAACCCATGCTCCTCCTGACCTGAAGTATTTGACGCTGTTTCTGGGTGTGATAATGATTGTATTTTACTCAGATATCCCTTATCTTTATGGGCAGTTGTTTGCCTTTCACCTTTCTCTTGTCATTGCCCTCCCACCCCCCATTGTCCATATGGTATGGTGCAGTATTACCATTAATGTAAATAATAGTCCTGTTAGATTGGGCAAATGAATGAATCACACTCTTATTAAATTCCTTAGAATAGGAATTGATAGCCACCCGTCATATTAACCCAAACCATCTTGAGTAATGACTTGTAGTCCAGGATTTAAATAGAATTCTGCCTGAATCCTTTTGGCACTAAACTACAGCGGAAGTGAGTGGTAAAAGCTAACTCCAAGAGCTTTGTGGTCAAGAGTTTACAAACTAAAAATATTAATTTCAGCAAAAGGTCTGCAAATAGAAATGTTTGGGGATAAAGCTCTTCAGTTGCCTTGAGTCATGCTAATAATAATGATAATAATCCTTGTATTTGATACAGTGCCTTATCACGTTGTCGGTAAATGCACTTCACAGCGATCATTAACTCCAGGATATTGCGCTAAAAAATAATCCTCTCATTTCAGTTCATCATCAATTCAGCTCCAGATTGGAGTTGTCGTTTTACAGTTAATTCTGCGCTTGTAGAAAGGCTTGGGCATTGAGGTGTGACTTCACATAGTGCCTTGCTGAATACCCCCAGCTTGCTCATCTAAATAATGAATTGAGTATTTAATTGTACAAGAAAATACTCCCCTTCTCCTGATTTCCTTCCCCTTTAAGCATCATGTTTTCACATTTTCAGTTGATTTTGCTTTTCAGAATTGAGGAAAGATGCCTGGAGCTGATGGCGCCATGATAAAAAATATTTTCTAAGTTGGCCATAAATTTTACACAATTCTAAGATGGTTTGCGACCTGCCTCAATACAGGTTTGAGACCTGAAGCTACATGTCAAGTTTCCCAATGACATCCATCTTGGCATCCCTTTTGTAATTTGGCTCTGTCAGATTGATTCTGCAGTGTCTGCTTGCAGTCGTGCTTTGTGCATTACTGTATCCAGTTACTGCCTCCCTCCCATACTAGTTCCTTGATGTCATAATTTCTGACATCATTCACTTTGACATCTCTTGGCAGAAGCTCGAGCACACACCTGTTCTTCTACGCTCCTGAGTTCCTGCTGGCCGTTTCTGTGAGCTCATGAATGCGATCCAGGTGTTAGTTGGTCATTTGGCCCATGATATACTGCAGGCTTCAGAGAACTCGTTTACAACAAAGGCCACACCTGCAAAAATGGGAGTTACCTATTCAATTTGGAAGTCATAAAAATCGAAGCAGGGCAATTTTTTTTATTTTTAATTCTGTATACTTTCTGGCTTTTCCAATTTAGAGTGTTTTATTCTTGCAGGCCTTTCCTTGATCATGTTGAGCATTCTCCTCTTTCCTACTTTTATCTTGCTATTGTCTGTCACCCCTCCCCCCTCCCCCAACGGCACCTTAATTATTGAATAAAATGAAATTAAATTCAGTATTTAGGTGCTTTCTCATGAACTCTCAGTTGAGGTTGATTGCCAGTTCATGTGCTTCCTAATGTTAGAAACGAGATGAGGAGGAAAAAACCAAGGCTGGCATTATTCATTTAACATCCAGAAAAGTACAGTTTCTAATAAATTATACCAAATCTACCATAAAGATTGGTTTGCACAAGTGACTTACAAAGGAATTGTTTTGATTATGGTTTGTGAAATCTAACAATTCTTTGGATTTGGAGAACTTAAAAATCATTCTTGCAGAACCAATCTATTACTTCCTTGGTATGAAAGAGCCAAAGTTAATTCTCTTGACCTGCACCCACCTAGGCGTGATTCATGCCTCATTCTTCCAGCCGTAATGCCATCTTTATTCTTTTCTTTCTGCGGCTTTCTTTTTTGGTGATTAATGTACATGTTCCTTTTGTAATTTTCTTCTTTGAAGTTTTTGGGTTTTCTTTTCCTGGTACTTTTTCACCTAAGCTCATGGAGTAGAGGAGGTGTATTGCAATATATTCAGTTGGTAAGCAGGATGTATTTGTATCTAAAACCACAGTCTTTCTTTCCACAGAAATTATCTGAAGTGTTCTGATGAGAAAGCCGTTGCCTATTGCTGTATGGTGCTGTTCAGCTGCCTCAGTGCTGAGCGAACAGACGATCTCCTGACTCACGACAGAGGAATTGAACTGGTTAAAACGGTTGTCAACATCTGCAGGACAGAACCTGAGCTCGACTGGGCGTATGTATTCTCTGAGAGACATTAACAACCTCTCGTCTATTTAGTTGAAGAGAAGATGCATAGAATTTTGAAGACTGTATGGATTATTTTCAATGCTGTCTCCAAAACGCCTTATACTATATTATTAATTTTGACCCAAGTTGAATAAATAATCAGGAATAAATACTTCCATAACTACTACAATAATAGAAACTTAAAAGTGAAAACTAAAAATATAATTTTTTTATATTTGCTGTGTTTATTGCCTCTTAAGATATTGTTACAAGACATTTATAAAATTGATCATTCACTTCGTGGCTGTTTGTGGGACAATGTGTCGAAATTGGCTGCTACAAATACACAGTCACTACACTTGAAGTGCGTTGAGACACTTGGTGATGTGGTAAGATGAGGTATCAAATGAAAAGATGATTATTATATATTACATATTCTGATAATGCGAGAATTTACATGCAAAGAAATTTCCATTTTCTCTTTTAAAATACCTTGCTATCTAAAAAAATTGCAATTAAAGAACAGTGACTTAATTTGGGCGACTTGGTAGAATGAATCTGTCATTCAATCTCCCCACAATTTGCCAAACAAAAATGTGCATTTAAATATATTTTTGAAACTGCCTCATGAAGCAGCACTCCTGTTACTCTTGACAGGATGAGTTGAGGATAGTTAATAATATAATAATAATCCTTGCATTTGATATAGCGCCTTATCATGTCTTCAAGACATCTCAAAGAGCTTCATAGCATATGCTGTAAAGTATAGTGACTGTGTATTTTGTGGGCGAAACGCGGCAGCTAATTGCGCACAGCAGTGTCCCACAAACAGTCATGGAGTGAGTGACCAAATTATTTTTTTTTGAAGGGATTATTACCCCCAGGAAAGCAACCCACCAACCGACTAGCAACCAGGTTCCTACTTAGATGGTCAATACTGAGGCTTCTCATTCCTTTCCATGATCTGTTTTTCTAGTCTCAACATGATGCAATGGTAAATGCAGTGGGGTTCATGATTGTGCACTTCATTTTGCCTGTCCCAAGGTCAATGGTACTGTGGTTAGACAGCTCATCACCAAACTCAATCGATTTAAGAACAAACAAAAAATGCATTTGAAGATCATCTTTGGAAGAAAGAAGATGAATGAAAATTGCATTTAAAAAATTCTTGTTACAAAGACAAGCCCTTTGGAACAAAGAATGCTAAGAGTGCAAGAATGCAGATGACACAAAAGCTTTAAAAGAATGAGGAAAATAATTTATAAATACAGCGTTCTTTGGCTAAATCTAATCCAGTAAAAAGAAATTATTTGACGGTTAGGATATTATATGACTATTTAGGCTTCTAATATTCGGTAATTAAAGTGTTCAGTTACCTTTCTTCCTTTTTCATAATTCGTCTTCTTTTGTGAAGCTAAACATAAAAAGTGTGTCTGTTCAGGAGTGCGCATTGTTGTCAAGGTGAAAGCTTGTCGAAGTACCCATTTGTGTAAGTTCAGGTACATTATTGAAGTGAATAATGACAGCAGGAAAGCTGAGGATAAAAATGACTTCTCCACACAGCCAGTTCTTTTTGTGTTCTGGAAGACTCTGATGCCATTTGGCACCGATGTGACCAGTATTTTTTTTTCCTGGACAATTTTCAACTCAGTTTCCTTAAAATGGTACAAAGCCTGTATTGTGCCAAGTCTGGATAACAGCCCAGTGCAAAATTATAGCACCACTTGGCTAGAAAATATAGTGGTAGAATATATGTAATAAGCTACTGTTTCAGTCATATTAAGGTATTATTATCTTTTTCAAATTGATGTGCATTTATCTAAATTATGGTATACACGGGCACAAAACATTCTTTTTTGAGTTTTTGTTTAAACATTGATGCATCAAAAAATTTGTTGTATCTATTACAGATTGTTATCTTCACACGGGTGTATGTTACTTTTTCCACTTATTTTACATAAAATCTAGCTGCTACTTGATTAATCTGATGGTAGTTGTGATTTTAAAATTCACCTTATTAAATAAACAGCTGTTATTGACGTAAGGGTAAGAACCATGTTGAACTTTGCACTCTTCTATAATGTACTTTGCTTCTTCTGTTGCCATCAAATTAATAGCAGAAGAAGAACAAAAATTTTTTTCCTTCTCACATATTAATTAGGATTAATTATGGTCAAGTATTAGGAGGACCTCCATGCTGGACATCTGATTTATTGTATGTCAGTTTAATATGGCCCCCAATGATTTGGCTGGCATGTCTGTCTCTGATTTCAATTGAATTGAATTTATATGTTTATATTATTTGGGATTAAAGTGCAAGGTCATTTTAGCACTTGCGAACACCCTTGCAACAGGGTTCACCAATGTGCAGGTAACATTTGGTAGCTTTCCTTTTGCTCACAGTTGCTGAGGCTAATTGTAATGACTAATTACCCGGCAGAGGCCGCTGAGCACAGTGCAGACCAGAGATCGCTTCAAAGACTTTCCCAGTTTGTGCTCGTGCTCAGAGATATACCAATGTCAGGAGTACTGATCGCTGCCCTACACCACAATCTTGTTGAGAAGCCAGTGGGAGTACTGATGAACTGTGAGGTGACCTCTGATTTTATAACAAACTGGTATTATGATCTTCACACGGGTGTATGTTACTTTTGTCGTGTTGACGAGAGATCATAAACTTAAACCTTTGTGGAATATTATCAAATCTGACTAATTCAAAAAAAAGTCTCAATCACTTCCACATATCTGCACAAAGCTGCACAGGTTCCGCTGTGAACCAAATATCCTTTTTTCCGTTCGGTCATCAACCATAATTATGATAGTATTGCCTCTTTGTGACCTGTTGGACCTCAGAGGGGTGTCATTTAAAAAGCGCTGCTTGAAGTTGATAAATAATATTTTCCAATATAAAGCTAACGAGAGATTTGTTTGTGACCCCTTCTTTCAGGTGTCTGCTTGTGACAGACCAGTTTCTGAAGTGTCCAGATGTAGTGGCTGCTGTGTACACTAAATTGAACAACCGAGAAAGGTAAGGGGAAAATAAGTTGCTTGGGTCAGGTCCACGCACATTGCCCATCAGCTGATGACAGATAGGAGATCGATGTCACTCAGTCTGTCTCATCCTGTCAGTCAAAGGCAAGGCCATCCCAACTGGTGATAGAGTAAGAATCTAAAGTGATGAATGTGAAAAATTATAATAAACTTGTAACTTTTGGGACATTGTGCAGTGTCTCTGCAACAGTTAAGTAAAGGGATATAACCCTGCACTAATAATATATTTATTCATATTTTTATTAGGTTCATATGTGGAACTGAATGTCCCACTGATAGTGACAAAAAAATCTTTGTGTGTCTGTGCACTGCATACCAGAAAGTTCTGATATTGGTCCAATGTGTATTATTCCACTGATGATTACACAAATTGAATCTGTTATGAGTACAATTTTCAGCTTAATATCACATTAAAGTATTTTGCATTGTGTTGCTGCGATATTTCCCAGAGGCAAAGTCAAGTCAAAGGTCAGTCTGATATCCATAATCTTTTTCCAAAGGATTACCTTGCTGGATCTGATAACTGCAAAGTTAAATGAGAAGATGCCAAGCTCTGTAACAGCCAGCACTGATGCGAGTGTGCCCATGAGGGTAGTACAATTTCTGGCAGAGTGCTTTAAGGAGAACTGCAAGGCGGTACTGGGGTTTGCATCTGCTATTGATGAGGAGGATGAGGTAAGTCGGTGGGAATGATTCCATTCATCAGTGTCGACATTTGCTGTCATCAAGATCTCATGCTGAAAATCAGGGGAGATTTAGTGGCATCATTTCATTTGTTCTGTGTTTATTTTTTGTAACCATTGTTTTGAGTTGCAAATAGAGGATTATTTTTTGGTGGTTCAATTTCAAAGACTACCTTCAGTGTTTGCAACAAACAACTATTTGTAAAATGCAAAAGTTTACCAGGATTTTTTTTGCTAGGTTTGCTATGAAGGCTCATTGTATCATTTTACTCTGATGAACATATTCACATTATATACATTCCAAATGTTAATATTTACATTGCTAATTCAAAGATTTGTGGTGGAGTATTTTTTCAAGTTATCCTGGTTTATGTTCCTCTCCTAAGCCAAATTCGAATAAATTGTCTGCTCATCTCATTATTCTTTATGAAACTTTACTGATGCAGCTGAGCGATGCTTATTTATTGCCTGCATTTTCAACCAATTCTACTTTGGAAAATGCTTTGAAAGATTAATTTTATGTGAAAAATACAAAATAATTATTATTATTAGAATGTGAAGAGAGAAAGCGCCTCATATATATATATATATGAGGCACACACATTTGCCAAACAATCTTCATCACCTGCTGTTGCTCTTGTTTGTAAAATATTTGTAGGTTAACCATCACTATCACGAGCTGTTACGTTTAAATAACAACAACAAACAATAACTTGCATTTATATAGCGTCTCTCACGCAGTCTAGCGTCCCAGACCGCTTGACAGTGGTGGTGTTAGACGCCGAGTCGGGGTGAAGGGGGAGTTGACCGTAGGCACGATCGAAGAGAAAGGTCTTCAGTTGCGATCTGAAGATGAGGAAGGAAGGGGCAAGGGGAGCATCAAATATGATTTAATTAGAATAATTTTAATAAAAGAGAGGAATTGCATCCTTAAATGCCAATAAACCGCTCCAATGAAGGGTGAAATTAAGCCGTCCTCCCAAAACTTACAAACTCCAACGATTATCTTTTGAATTGCTCAAAGATGTTAACACCCTGGATTCGTTTGTCTCTTCCACTATTTTGAATATCCCCTTTCATGTCATAAGACATGGAAGGAGATATTGTCCAAGCATTCTGAAATGGGGAGACTCCAGTTCATGTTGCAACTGGTGCAGATACATCATTTGCAAAACATAGGGAAGCACGCCAAAAAGATGTGTACAAGGTTCTTGTGTGGTGGCCACCTTGAAATTGAGAGCTTGTTTAATAACTGATAGTTCAGAAATGACAGCTCCTGTAAACTTACTGTTACAAAGCTATAGTAACACTCCAATTCTGCAAACTTGTTTCTTTTCTTATTCTGTTCTTACTGCCTTCCAGTTAGGGTAGAGAATGTATTTGTGCTGGCAAACCTAAATGCACCCACAGAACTCCGCCCACAGATACCTGACTGGAGAATTTGCAGTGATCAAAAAGATCTGATAAGCCAGTTCCCAACCTCTCAAGATCGTTTCTAAACTTTGAAAAGGTTTTTGCATGGGTGCAGTTGTGATCTATTGGTGGAGTATGAAGCAGTGTGAGATGATCTCCTCATGATGGTGTTGAACTAATGCCAGTTTGAGTACAAAGATTATGAAGAATGTACAGTAAAGAAACATGCCACTCGGCCGAACCAGGCCATGTCAGTGCTAATATTCCACACGAATCTTCACCCATTCCTTACACCCCTATGTGAAGGTCTAGTTTCCTCTTGAATACATCTGATTTAATCACTTCAGTTATACTCATTTTACATCTTACAATGCTGAAGGTGCTTTGCAGGAAGCCAAGCAGTGTTGTGTAACCGTGCTGAAAAGCTTTTTTTGCTTCTTTCAAAAATGGGTTCCAGATTTGTTACAACTTTCATTCAGGATCATTGGGGTCAGGGGGAGGGGAGGAAATGAAGCCAGGTAACAATGATGCAGAGCGAAAATAGTTTGAATTTTATAATGTTCTTTGAAGACAGGAAATAATTGATTCTTTGAGTTGGAAATAATCCTTTAAGTTGTGAGTTTCTATTTGGCAAGCTTTGTGCTTTGGCAGCTGCAGACTGGCATGGCTTGTCTGTTTTCCCCCATACTGATCAGGGTAACAGTGAGGAGGTCCATACATGCTTCAAGACATGAATGGAAATAGAGTCCTGTAGTGCATTGGTTAAAGCACTCACCTCGCAAACAAGAGAACGCGGCTTCGAACCCGGGCGGGGCGAAACCTTAGGCAAGTTTTCTTACTCCACTCGCCTCTATTTACCAAGTAGTAAGTAGGAACCCTACTTGTTAGTCAATGGAGGATCGCTTTCCGGGAGGCAATAATCCCTCAAAAAAATTGGGTCACGACTGTGGGACACTGCTGTGCACGATTGCCTGCCGCGTTTCACCCAAACAATATACAGTCAATTCATTTTACAGTATATTCTAAGAAGTCCTTTGAGACATCTCAACAACGTGATGAGGCTCTATATCAAATGCAAGGATTATTATGATACCGACTTGACCAGATACTCTGCAGACTGTGTCGTTGTGTCATCATTATTACCAATAACCTTGGCCGTTGTGTCTTAGAAAAACTGTAATGATGGCTTTTAATAACAATAATAATAATCCTTGCAAACTATTTATTGCTGGACAAACAGAGGTGTGTGGAGTAAGGAAACTTGCCTAACGTTTCGCGCTGCCTGGGAGTGAACCTGGGATATTGACAGCATGATGACTTCAGTGGTAGTGACAAGTTAAGCTAAGCTACAGGAGTTTTCTGTAGTCATTTCAGCCGCTTAAGAATACTAAAGTATATTGCTTTTGTTTTTAATTGGGACATATGGGAAATGTTTTCTTCAAAACATAGTTAACTGGACACGGACAGAAATTCAGTCACTGAATTTACGTGTGAAAATAGTCAAGTACTTTTGGTTTCAACTGGAATTAGAAAAAAAAATCCTTTTGGTGGGTCATGCTGCTGTGAGCTTGTTTTGATTTTGAAGTTACTGATCAATAATTCGGAGACTATATTTGATAAGCGGTTTAATAATATTTAATTGCGAAAATCTTCTCGTTTGGTGTTTGTGATTTGGTCCAGATGGGCTGGTTACTGCATCTCATTATTTTATTTTATTTTTAAGGGAGAGTATTTTGTCTGCCCTTAAAATATTCCAAAAAGTAATACATCTATTTGTCATTTGCACAGGAAGCACTCATTGTAATTCGGCTTCTTGATATTCTCTGTGAAACAACTTCCAACCATGATCAGTTCATTCATTTGCAGAACTCTCCTGGATTGGTGGAGACTGTTGTAGGTAAGTGCCAAAGTAAACTGGAAGTACAAGAGGGTTTATGAGAAATTAATTAAGCAGGGTTAGGTTTTTTTAAAGACAGGTAGAAACGGAGGAGAGAGGGACATCCAGATAATAGCTGATGTAGTAATTGAAGGCTCAGTCACCGAAGGTGGTACAGAGAGGACAGGGATGTGCAACAGGCTAGCTGAGCGGAGGGTTGAACAGAAGTGTGGGGTGGGAGAAGGAGGAGAAAGGATGCAGACTGAGGATGGAGCTCTGATGTACTCTGCTGGTGACCAATGCCGAGAATGGGAAGAGCAAGGGGAGCTTGGCAGAAAGTGGAGAGAAAGGTGGGAGTAAATGTCAGTGGCAACAATGCATCGCAGTACTTTGGACAGGGAGGACAGTTTGTGGGTGGGCCTGTAGTTAGAGAATTTGGAGGAATTGAAGGTTTCTTGAGAAGGAGGTGGTTTTGTAAAGTGGTTTTGAATGCGATGGGGGAATAGTGCTGGAAGAGAGGGACCAGTTGACTATATGCGCCATGGTCTTGAAGAATTCACTCCCAATACAGTGAAGTTCAGTGATATCAATTGATCTTGTGAGGATCAATTCATATCACTGAACACCAGTGCTTGTTCTAGTTATTCATAGTTTTCTTACGTAGCTCTGCTTCCAAGCCTTTTTTTTCCCCCAAAATTATTTATCCATGAGGGTTTCATTTGCTACTTGTACACACACTTCACAAAATTTGCACACTGTGGTTATACAATTCAAAGGGCTGCTGAGGTCAAAATCCAAAATGATTTAAAACTTTTTTTAAAAAAAGCATCCGACACAGCTGTCTCTTATTTAACTGTGAGGGCCACTTGGCATCAATTTATGGATACTTTTGTGCTATAGCACTGTGCCCGACAAAGAACTGAAGCAACTATATTGAGACTGCCAATTAATTTAAGACTTGCATTCCGTCATTTAGGACTGGGTTCAAAATCAAATCCCAGAAGTGAGAAGCATCTGCTTCACCTCCCTTATCCCAGCCCCTTAATCTCAGCCCACTTAACTTTCATGATACTGTACCAACGCATAATGAATGCTTTTTATGGTCAGTGTAACTTTAGGAATAATTGTAAAACATTTTGTTCAAAATGGATTATACCACTTGCAGGGAGGTGGAAATTGTCACAATTTTATCGTTTTCATTCTTCCTTCGCTTCTGTCTGTTGCAGAACTTTTGCGTCGGACGCACCTTGCAGGAAAGCAAAATAGGAACATCTTCAGTGCATCCCAGTCGTCAGCAGTCACAGACACCATCACTCATCCTGCTATGGGCTTTAAAGCCCATTTGATCCGTCTTATAGGAAATCTTTGTTATGGTAACAAGACAAATCAAGACAAGGTGAGAAACTTAACTAAGAAGTTTTTGGCAAAGCTGTTTTTAGTATTGTGAGTAAAAAGAGGCCACACATTGATATTTTGGAAGAATAGTATTTTAATATTTGCTGCAGAAATGAGACTCTTGCAATTGAATACAACCGGTGCTATTGATTTGCAGTCAAGGCAGTGAAAGTACAATATTCAATATGCAAGAGTTCCAATTATTTACCAGCTATTTATAAATTCATAAATCTTTTCAACTTTGGTGAAATCTGCTTTGTAATATGAACCTTTTTCCCCCAAAAAATATATTTGGCAATAGTTACAGTACTTTCACAAGTGTTAGAACAAAATTACCTGAAGATAATCACTCAGTTCCAACACATGAAAATGACCCAGTTATGGATCCATCTTGTTGACTGGCTGGTTGCAATTGGATAAAACTGTATCAAGCCATTATCTTTATCACTACCCTCCCCAACAGGATTTGGTGGCCTTTGAATGCAGATAACCAAAAAACACAGTATGATCCTCTTAAGAGTGTTCTGTTTAAACAATTAAAAATTGATCCTATCGAAAGCCTCTGTACAGACTTCATTGCCTGGTGCTATTTCAAATAATGAGCATTTTGTTTGCATTTAGTATCTTTGGTTTGCAGGACAGATGGTCCTGAAGGAAAGTTAATTGCCTTGGTGGCAATCTCTTCTTAGCAAGAGTGAGATTTAAACTAATTGGTCCAGTTTACAAGATGCTATAATAAAATTACAAACTGTAATCTGGACCAAGTGATGAGTAATGCACGGTTTTATATCCAGTAGCCGTAGATTAGTGGCTGATAACCTTCACTGAGTGGTACCAGTTCAATACTGTATCTTGAAAGCTAATGAGTAGTGACTTCATATCTGTTACCAAACAGTCTTGCATTTGTAAGTGAACAGTGATTAAAAGAACGAAGACTGTATTTACCATCCAGCATTGTGGCTGAATATCCATGAATAAATAAAGGATGTTTGGATCTGATAGTGTATTATTACCAGGGAATGCCAACATTTACATGAAGGGTTTTTACACCAGTAAGACCACCCAGCTAGTTGCAAACTATCTGCTGCAATATTCTACTGCGCTGGGATAGGCAGAGCTGTGATGTGCTCTGACTTCTAGGCAAAACAGCAGTGGTCTTGTGGTACTGCTGGCCTGTTCACACTTTCCTCGGAGAGCGGCCAGGAAGAAGTCACAACTTGGAAACAGCAATTATTTCTGATTCACCTGAATTATTTAAGGTTTTTTACTAAGTGCAATTTCTATTATTATTATTTTTAAAACTCCAAAATGTGCCTGGATGTTGGCTGGGAGCTTACTCAGCCTGCAGCCAAGTGAAATTTAACCTGACAGTGCTCGATGGCTCCTAAAATCTGAAATTGCTCCTTTTTCTGGTGCTGGCATGCCTTGGTTCAATGAAAGGGAAATTTGGCAAAGGGGGAAAAAATGTTGCCTGTACTTCCAGGCACCAATGGACAATGATCACTGTTTTGTTACCCCCTGATCCCACTGATTACTGTGCCATTGATTGTTGATACCCCTGTAGAATATTATCCTATAACTATTATTTGCCAGTGAATAATAAAAACATTTTTCACTCTTGATGCCAATCATATTGAAAACTTTGTTTTGACAATGTAATAAAAGGCATTTTCATGCACCGCGATGCTCAACACAATTCACAATATTTATGGATTGCTTTCTGATTAACAAAAAAAAACCACAAGACAGACCTTGGGTGGTCAGATGATTTGTAATCTAGTGATGACATTTGTTTCAGGTTAGCTTGGTTAGCAGTTTGGTATGTATTCTTGGTGCCTTATTTTTTCAAGACAGAAAAAGGACCGGGTGCACTATAAAACGATTTAGAAATAGAGAACAGCAAGGTGGAAAAGGGGACGTCCTCAGGAAAGAGGCGGGGATCCAAAATAACCAAAATAAAGATGTTGTCATGACAGGAGCAACTTGGTAAAAAATAGAACAGCTTGAAACAAGTGAGTGTCTGCTGGCAGACTTAGTAGGAGAGGGTTGAGGTGCAACAGCAACTTGCTTTTACAACAACTTGTGTTGATATAGGACCCCTGACACAGTGTCCAGAGCACTTGACTGTGGCAGAGCGTGATGCTGAGGGGAGAGATGATCGTAGGCATGGTCGAAAAAGGAGGGCTTCATCCTTGATGCAGATGGGGAAGGATGGGACAAAGTGGAGGGATTGAGGGAGAGCTCCAGAATTTCGGGGCATGCGGCCAGTAATGGTGGAAAGGAGAGCACGAGGGACAAGCAGGAGGCCAGAGCCAGTCGAGTAGAGGCAGCGGGTAATGCATTGGGTCTTAGATTTAGGCAACTGCCAGGGCATGAAGAGTTTTAAAGACCAGAGTAAGGATCGTGTGAGGATCACTAGGCACATGCAGTCATGTTGCAAGACCTTTCTAGCAGTGCCACTTGTGATTCATAAAGCGTTACTGTAAATCTCATGAAAAGGTCTTCTGCATAACACGTCCCTTGTTATAACATGTTGCTGTATGGCTCCTGAGCCCAGCATTCTAGAGGGGGGAGGGGCGACTGTTTCAAAAGAAAATCTGGACGAGATATAACTTGCTTCAGCCTTCGATTCCATGCTAACTATAATTGGAATGAGAAATGCACTGGATGCTTGAATTCATAAATCAAATTGGTGTGAGTGTTTTGGGATTATGTGACTGTTTGAACTAGGTTTTCTAGTGTAGGCAAGTGAGACAACAGTGCAGTGATTTGAAACAAAACTGTAATGCTTTTTTAGTTAAATATTTAGCCCCAAATTACAGTCAATTCATTTTACAGTATATTCTGTGAAGCCTGTTGAGACTTCTCAGAGACCTGATAAGGCACTATATCAAATGCAAGTATTATCATTATTATTACTATAAACCACGCTACAAATTACAAGTTAATGTTCTGAAGTAAATTCCGCAACAATAACACATTTAATCGGTTTAGGCCTTCCATGTCAAGATAAAATTGGAGACAAAATGGATAGAAATCCTACCTGGGTCTTGATTTACTCTATTTCCTTAATAGTTCAGAATGTTCAGAATTTGGCGCATTCTTAAATACAAGGTTAATTTTGAAACCGATTTTCTTTTAAGATCTATGGAAAACAAGTGTGAAACGTAAGACAAATATCAACACTTTGCCAAATTCTGCACATGTCGAAATACAAATAAAATTGCATAAATCTTGATCTAGATGGAATTTCTCCACAAATCTATGTTACGATGATATATGTGTGAGTCCTTGTTTAAATTCTCAGTATACAAAATCCTTTTTGCACCCTTTTCCTGTGTAGGTGATTCCACAAGATATTGTGAGTTGAAAAGGAGGTGATAGGAGAGTTGAAAAGAGTGAATAATATTCAGACTTTATACTCTAGGCTGATATTCCAGTGCAGTGTTGAGGACGTACTGTTTTGCCAGTATCCTGGCCAACAATCCCCCAGGTAAAATTGGTCATTTTCATCTCAAGGCTGTTTTGTGGGTCACTGGTGTATGCAAAGTGGCTACCACATTCACCTACAAAATACACAATTAACTGCACTCTTTAGTAAATCCTGTAAAGTGTTTTAAGATATTTCAGTGACATACAAGGTGCAATATCAAGTGCAAGGATAATTATTGTAGATTATAATATGATCACGGGACCAGCCCTTTGAAAAAGTCGGAGAGAAGAAGGGGGCAGCTTAGATTAATGTCACATTGTTAAAGCAATGAAAAAGATTAAAAAGTGTGAACTGATTTATTACAGGAGATGTTTTTAATATTGTGCCTGTGACAGGCTCATTTAATGCAGAGAAGCCCACGTTTGATTTATATTGCTGTGGTGTGGGCATTGGAGCACATGTTCAGCACCATTTAGTAGGAGGTTGCAGGTTTTTATCTACACTCAACTCCAGTCTAAGGCATCGCAGTCAGAAAGTGCAACAATCTCCGTTGTATATGAATATTCTGTCACTCAACTTAACCAGAAGTTGGGTTTCTGAATTCAACTGGAAAACCCTAGAAAATCTAATTGACCGAGTATTTTAATTGTATGAGTATTTTTCTAACTCTCTTAACAAGCGTTGCTTGCACATATCTTTTGATCTTTAGAATCTCATTGCTTGTTTGGTCGGCATGATTGGGGCTATTTGTTTGGTTTGTAATTGTTCCTTTTCCTGTGTTATCTGGAGTACAATAGAGTACCAAAAAGCTTATTGGCCCATGGGACAAGCTTTTAGAAAATTACCAATAAAATTGATTTTGGAAAAACATCACTGTTATTGAACATCTGATTTGAATTAATAGATTCATTGAAACATTTGTAAAAGATAAAATTACCAACAGATGTAGGTTAAAGTGAGAATAATCTCATGTTAATTCTAAAAATGACAAGAAGGATTGTTGCTGTTTTGGGGTCCAGTAAAATAATCTTAAATATGTAAAATGGTGCTCTGCTTTGTGCAGACCTTTGTGGGTCGTTGGACATTGCCAGAAATCATATTGAAACATGTTGCTATTGTAGCACGAAACACAGCATCCTGTTTGTTAATCTGTATTTCTTGGAAGCTCTGTACTCATGGTATCTATTAAGATGAGTGAAAAATACCAAGCTGGGAAATTCTACTGAGCTGTGTAGAAATTGAGAGGCTCAATCTGACAGTGAAAGCATCAAAGACTAGAAAGGATTCCATCCATCAGTAAAATGATATGGAAACATGACTCTTTAATGCAATATTTCATATCTACAAAATATATTTCTCTCTACCAACCTCCCCCAAAAGCATGTGATTGTAGTGGGAGATTTACTTCAACAACAATAATAAAATTTCACTTGTATAGCACTTTTCACGTCGGGAGCACATCCCAAAGCTCAGAAGGTGCTGTGAACTAAATTTTCTTTGCTAGGTTTTTTAAGTTACTGTGGGTAGAGAGGTAGGTTGGCACTGTATGAATAGAGAGCGAGAGAGAG